ACCATGTCTTCTTTATCCATTCGTCTGTGGATGGACACTTGAGCTGTTTCCATTGTTTGGCTCTTGTGGATAACACTGCTGTAAACATCAGGGTGCATGGGTCCCTTCTCGCTTTTTAAGCAGAGGGAGGTTTTCGTGGATGACCCTGGACCGGGCATGACCTCGTCACTCAGAAGTCTGCCTTCTCAGGGGTGCCTTCCCCGAGCATCCAGGACTCTTTCTCCCCATCCTCATCATGCTCCTTGTGGCTGACACTTGATTGCCTTGTCCCAGTCCTGAGCATTGTGAGGACGAGGTCAGCCCCTAAGATCACGAGGCGCAGCACCTGGACATGCCGCAGGCTTTCAGGAAATGCATGTTGGGAGTTGAGCTTCTCAGGACCACACCAGATGTGGTCAAATGATTGCAATCTCTAGCTTTGGAGGTGACAGTGGTTGTGATAGGAGGTTAGTGCAGAGATGTCTGGTGTGCGTGGGGTGGATATGGTGCCTGTGTGTGTATCGTGGGTCAGGTGTGTTGCATGTTGCATGTGGTGGGGTATGTGCCATGGGTGTCTCATGTGTATGATGACTGTGGTATGTTGGCGTGTATGTATTATGTGTGTATAATAGGTGTGTCTGTGCTTGTGTCTGTGCACTAGGTGTGAGTGTAATGTGAGTGTGGAGTGTACTGAGCATGTGTCATGTGTCTGCCGTGTGCATGTGGAAGGTTTGGGTTATTTGTTATGATTAATGGTGCACCCATTAATAGTCCATATGCTTTGTGTTTTGAGAAGCCGATGAATTCCACCACGTGGGCAGCAGGGCTATTGCTGTGACCACTCAACACAGACTGAGCCATTTGTATGTTTATGAAAACTGTTGTGTGGCACTTTCTCCCACAGAGCTGACATCGTCCTGCCTAATGGGACATTTTAAAAATAAAATCTGGCCTATATTTTTAAAAAATGCCTGTATTGGGCACCTGGGTGGCTCAGATGGTTGAGCGTCTGCCTTCGGCTCGGGTCATGATCCCGGGGTTCTGGGATCGAGTCCCGCATCGGGCTCCCTGCTCCTTGGGAGCCTGCTTCTCCCTCTGCCTCTCTCTCTCTCTCTCTCTCATGAATATTTAAAAAAAAAAAAATGCCTGTATTGTGTGCATATGCTCTACCCTCGTTTTGGGCACTTCCTGTGCTTTATCTCTGTTGATCATGAAAACCACCTTATGGGGCAGGTACTCCTTAACTCCTGACTGCCCGAGGAGGAGAGCGAGGAACAGAGATCCAGCAAAGCAGCAGTTCCAAGGTCAGGCGGCTCCCAGGGAGCTAGTGATCTCAGGCCTGGGTAACTCTAACCTCCATTCTCTACACAGGTGGTTCTCAAAGGAGTGTTGGCATCAGCATTCCCTGGAGGGCATGGACGTGGATTCCTGGGTCTCATCCTGCCCTTACGGTTTCTGGTTTTGTGGGTCTGGGGTGGGACCCAGGACTTTGCTTTCATAACAAGTGATGCTAAGGCTGTTGACCTGGGGCCACATGTGTAGACCACTCCTCTGAATATGCTCTCTCTAGTCCTCAGATAGAGAGGGCAGAGGAGACTGTTGGGACCCAAGCCAGTGGTTAGGATTCCTGCAGATTCCTGCAATTTCTGCTGATAGGACCAAGTACAATTACCAGGAAAATCAACATGGAGGTGTTTGTTGTTGTTGTTGTTTTTTTTTAAGATTGTATTTATTTCTTTGAATGAGAGAGAAAGAGAGAGTGGGTGAGAGAATCTGAAGCGGACTTTGTGCTGAGCGCAGAGCCCAATGCAGGCCTTGATCCCACGACCCTGAGATCATGACCTGAGCCAAAACCGAGTCAGACACTCAACTGACTGAGCCACCCAGGGTGCCCCATGCTGGAGTTTTAAAGCATATTTTACTTTATTCTGTGTATTTGTTATGGCAGTGTAGTTGATGTTACATTAGCTTCAGGCGTGCAGCAGAATGGCTTAACAATGCTATACCCGACTCAGTGCTCACTGTGATGAGTGTGGTCACCATCTGTCACCACATGTCATGACAGTGTTCCCTAGGCTGTACTGTCCAGCCCTGCGACTTACTTCTTTTATATCTGGAAGTTTGTAACTCTTCATCCCCATTACCTATTTCACCTGTCCCCTCTGACAACCACCAGTCTGTTCTCTATATTTGTGAGATATTTCTGGTTTTGTGTTTGTTTATTCATTTGTTTTGAGATTCCACATATAAGTGAAACCATCTGTTGCTTGTCTTACTCTGTTTGACTTAATGCACTTAGGGTAATATCTGCTAGCCCCATCCATATTGCTGCAAATGGCAAGATTTCATTCTTCTTTACAGCTGAGGAACATTCCGCTGCAAATATATGCCGCGCCTTCCTTATCCATTCATCCATCAGTGGACACCTGAGTTGCTTCCCTATCTTGGCTATTATAAATAATGCTGCAATGAACATAGGAGTGCGTGTATCTTTTTGAATTAGTGTTTTCATTTTCTTTGGGTAAATACCCAGCAGTGGAATTACTGGATCATATGGTCTTTCTGTTCTTAATTTTTGGGGGAACCTCCATACTGTAAAACTGGTATTTTAAATGTGAGCTCATCTTCCTCATGGTCTAACTGGGTATTTGGGTTACAATGAATCACATGGCCTTAAAAAGGAACAGACAGCTTTCCACCAATAAGCTGTGTTCGCATTGACACGTTTCAGGCTCTAGCTAATTTGTCCTGGGCAGTAGGGACAGGAGAGCGCATCTTCCCAGGAGAAGACAGTGTTTGGCCGGGCATTCTCCATGCATTAAGTATTTTTTTCTTCTAAATACTAATTCCCCAGAAAAACACTGTCCCAGCCATTCTACCAGTAAGGGCCAGAGGTGGAAAACTAGCACCTGCAGCTCCTGGGTCAGTGCTGTTCTTCTGTAAGGCGCTGCTGTCTCCTGGGTGACCCAGGGCCCGGACTCCAGTGGAGATGTTTTATGCAGTGCGTGAAATGCGTATGAACCCCCCGAGCAGTGTTTGGCGTGCAGGAGGCTGGAATGTTAGTGTGTGGTGTTCTTGCTCTCCCTCTGTTCCTTCCTCTGTAACATCCTCCCAGAGTTGGGGACCAGGGAATGTCAGGAATTACTGACACTGGCAACCACAAGCAGGGGTCAGATGGGCTTTGCTGGCTCTGCAGTGTTTCAAGGATTGAGACTGAGCGCGGGGCAGGGAAGTAGGGAAGAGACAGCCATCCCTGTGTTTAACGTGATAATGAAATTAGGTGCAGAGTGGCTTTATTTGCTCGCCCTCAGTTCAGCTCTTAGAGGAAGTGCCTTGAGGTTGAAACCGAGGGGTGGGTTTCTGACCTTGACCGGCTCAGGTGTGCACCTGGAGGGCTCTCCCATTAGGGAGATAGGTTTTCAGCACATTTTGTGAGCCACACCTCTCTGGGCGTGTCAGCTTGAAATTCCGTTTTGCAGGATTTATAGAGGCTGTGTTCTGGGATCTGCTGCATTTTAATCTGGTCAGCGGAATTCTGCATCTTCAGAAATATTTCCCTGCGTGGCACCCTTGCCAGAGCCAAGATGCAGTGTTAAGGCCACATTAATCTCTTGTGCTCTTATTCTTGGGAGCTGGCCACAGTGAGGTCATGCTCTGAACCCCAGTGCTGGTGTTCTGGTCATTGAAGCATCAGGGGAGCAGAAGGAAGAAAGGCTTTGAAGGGAGACCTAGGTGCCAGCTAGGAGAGACTGGATCTCCTTTTAGCTTCCGTGCTCCCTCTCTCCCATTCTCCCCTTCCCCAAGTTCATGCCAGCTGCCACCCAGCAAGAACCTCCTGGCTCCCCAAGAACCTGCTCATTGCAAGTAATTACCTCCTGTCCTATGGGGACTCCTCCTAGGTAGCTTGTATCACCCCATTACACATGGTGGCAAACTGAGGCTTGGAGAAAGTGCAGACCCCCTCCAAAGTACACACCACTAGAGCATTCTAGATGAGGAAAGTGGGTCCAGATTAGAGCCTCTCTGATCCTTTTCCTCATCTGCATTATGGGGCAAGAACCTTTTATCACAAAATTCTTCTTGGACAAAATCAGGCAACTTACAGAAAATACTTTATGCAGCACCAAGAATATAGTAGGTGCTCCATAGAAGTCAGTTTCTTTCCCTTCCTCCAAATCACTGGTGTCTAGACATTTTCATATCCTCAGAAAGTTCAGCCTGCTTTGAGTCTTTCTTCCCCTTGGTTCATTTCTCAACCTAGACTTGGACTGTTTTAATTTTGTTCCCTCCCATCGTCCCCATGCGGCCCTCTTGTTATTGGCCCTAAGGTCTCCAACTTGGAAAATGAGCATCCTGTCAAGTTGGGTTCAACATCTGGGCAGCGGCACCCACTCCCTCGGCTTCCTGTGCTCAGTAGAAAGCACATCTGGAATTGCCACTCCAGGTCCCTTAGCACTTTTGAGATGGCATTTATACTAACAACGATCAAGTCCTTTTCAATTACTGTTATTAATCATTATGCATGTCAGGAACTGTGCAAAGTGCTCTGTGTGGTAGACGCATTTAATCTGTCCATCCTCTGTCCGTTTTGTGCTATTATCAGGGTTCGTGTTATAGAGGAGAAGTTAAGTGACTTGCTCAGGGTCACGCAGGTGGAAAGTGGAACAGCAGGGACTCTTGCTCCATTGGCCATTGGCCATGTGCTCATGGCTGGGCAGCTGTTGCATCCACAGCATGGACGGGTAAGGAAGGGCATAGCCCTGCTTTAGGATTAGGATAACTGGGTCCGAGTCTGGTCCTTCCAGGAGTGAGCTGAGTGACATTAAGTGTGTCTTCTGTCTCTGTGTCTTTTCCTATAACAGGAACCTCTGAGTGATGACATCCAGTGGACCCACCATGCTCCCAGGGGTCAGGTACATTGGGTTCCCCTTGTGGAAGCCCAGGCTCTCTGTGTTTGGCTGATGGGATATCTCAAGCTGTTAATTTCTCTTTTGTTTTTCAGGTAATGAACCAAAAAGATCATGTCTGAAGTACAAGGAACGGTTGAGTTTTCTGTAGAGCTACATAAATTTTATAATGTGGATCTCTTTCAGAGAGGGTAAGTATGCATCACTATATCTATTGGTGTGTGCACGCACATGTGTGTACAGTTGACCCTTGAACAACATGGGTTTGAGCTATGCAGGTCCAGTTGTACATGGATTTATAAATATAGCATAGCGCTGTGGATGTCATTTCTCTTCCTTATGATTTGCTCAGTAACATTTCTTTCCTCTAGCTTACTTTAGAGTAAGAGAGAATACAGTGGGGGCGCCTGGGTGGCTCAGATGGTTAAGCATCTGCCTTCGGCTTCGGTCATGATTCTGGGGTCCTGGGATCGAGCCCCACATCGGGTTCCTGGCTCAGTGGGGAGCCTGCTTTTCCCTCTCCCTCTCCCCCTCTCCCCAGTTCATGCTCCCTCTCTCTATCTCTGTCAAATGAATAAATTAAAAAAAATCTTAAAAAAAAGAAAGAATACAGTGTATAATACATTCAACATACAAAATATGTGTCCTTGGCTGTTTATGTGATCAGTAAGGCTTCTGGTCAACAGTAGGGTAGTAGTAGCTAAGTTTTTGGAGAGTCCAAAGTCCTACATGATTTTCGACTCTGTGGGTGTGGGTGGGTGCCTCGAACCCCATTGTTGGTCAAGGGTCCTGTGTGTGTGTGTGTGTGTGTGTGTGTGTGTGTGTGTGTGTGTGTGTGTGTGTGTGTGTGACTGTTTCTCCCGGCAGGAGGTAGAGGTGGTAAGGACAGGTTGTAGGACATTTTAGATTAATGAGGAAAGGATTTTCATTATTTTTCCTGTGAAGTGGAACATCCAAAAGTTTAGTACAGTTGAAAATCACCCACATATTGACAGACTTGAGAATGCTCATTTCTCCCCTCCCTCCTGCACCTCCGTCCATGTCCTCTCTTCTGGGTTGCTCTTCCCATGACGTACATCAGTCAGTTTTAAAGGGAAGTGGATTTATCGGCAATGAAGCTTGCTTGTGTAGCTCTGAGAAAAAAGTGTGCCTGCGTCATCAATATTTGGAGTGCCCATCTCCCCAAAACTGCATGTCATAAAACCTGTGCCTAGATCTCTCAAGAACTGAAAATTTGTGATGTCCTCTTGAAATACAGAAGTAAAATGTAGTTGCTTGCGGTGTTTGCGGATGTGTTCTGAATTTGGTGTTGTGTATGTGTGATCTCAGTAGGTCTTCAGGATAGACTTCCCTCTCAGGGTCACTGCAAATAATAACCACATGGAATGGTTATGTGAAGCATCCAGTCCCACAGCAGGACTCTGTGTACTCCCAGTGGCACTTGCTGCTTCCCTGGGTTACAGACAAGGAAACCTAAGTTCATAGAAACTGAATTTGTGATGTGCTCAAGTTAACAGAGCAAAACAGGAGGTTTTCCATGTTGTGGAAAGCTGACCTCCATGCTCCAGAGCCAAAATACAACTCCAAGACAGAATTGGGGATAAAGAAGAGCAATAGTTTTATTGCCGTGCCGGGCAAATGAGGCTGCTCATGGCCTTCAAAAAACTGCAAGGCTTCCCAGAGGAAGGGGCTGGGGCATTTTATTGGGAAATATAGGATCTAACTGGTTCTGGCAGGAACCGTGGATGAACTGCCAGCCTCCTTGTTAGTTATGGCTCGTTTTCAGGGCTGCACTGAGTTCCTGAAAGGCAAATCCAAGAAGGGAGTAGGGGAGGTTTGCAGAAGGGGGGAGGAAGGTTACTTTAAAATCGAGCTTAGCTGAAGCATCAGGGCAGCCATTTTGATTTTGGTTCAACTTTATGCTTTTAAGTGGTTCCATCTATTGGCTTGTTTTTGCTGCATAACGAACCACCCTTAACCGTAGTGGCTTAAAACTGCAGCTTTCCATTTAGCTTCTGATTCTGAGGGCAGGCAGGTTGAGCCTGGTCGAGTTGGGCAGTTCTGCTGAGCTGGAGCAGGCCTGGCCACCCTCACCACGGTTTGCTCCAGGACTGGGCCCTAGACTGGGAGGCGGCAGATAAGCCCTCCAAGCAGGAGTGGAAACACACACAACACAACGTCCTGCTAGCTAGCCTCAGACTCACAGAGGGGGGTTTCCGTGGCCTTCTGCTGACCAAAGCCAAGTGCAAGGACAGTCTGGATTCAGGGCGGAGAAGTAGAGACCATCTCACACTTCTACCATCTGCCACCCGGGTCAGGCTCCAGTTTCAAAAGGATCGCTCTGAAGTTCATGCTTCTAGTACCTCTTGTATGTGATGACCCCTTGTTACATGAGGTGTGATTCGGTGACCGGGCCATTTTAGTAAGTGACCTGAATCAGGTGGTGCGGGGCACAGGCAATGATCCTGGGGCCAGCTATGTTGCAGGGACCGGGCCCATGAAGGGTTCTGGTCGGGATTCTGGAGCTGAGTTTTGAGGAAGTAAAGCTCTGTGCATCCTGCAGAAGCTCATCACCATGGGTCTGCACCGCCTCACTTGATCCGAAGTTGGGTGGTAGAGTGAGAAAAATCTGGGCTTGGGGCCCTGCCTCCTGAGTCATGGCTTGGTTTCTGCTTCCTAGAGCCCCTTTGGCACCCCCCACATTCTGCTGTTCACGTTTGAGAATGTCATGTGTCTATCATAGTGTTAGATACTTCTACTGATTATTTCCTAAATCCTCATCACCAACCATAGCGTGAGTGATAATATCTTTATTTTGCCTGATGGGTAACTTGGGATCAGGGTGGTGGAACAATCTGCACCTCTAACATGGCAGAGGGGGGATATGGGGCTGAGTTGCTTGTTTCTGTGATGTAAGCCTGACCTCCAAAGTGGGCTGCCTTCTCCCCAGGGCTGCACAAAACATTCATCAGGATGTGGGAAAAAAATATTAAAACTTCCACTAACATAACTGTTCTCATCAAAAATTAGAGAGAAATCAAGCTCCATTAATAATTAGAATCCAGGCTGACCCTGGAAATCTTTTGTGTCCATATGGCACACAGTCTTGAGTTCTACTCAGTAACTCTGGCCTCAAATAAAAGGGTGTCCCACAGCACAGATGAGTTGATGACATCACCCTCATGTTGCAAAATACTACAGTTTGGACTGAGCAGTTAGGCACATCTGTAAATTGTTTTCTACTTTTAACTACACTAACCCCCCTAAGATAGCAAGTGCCTTAAAAACAAATACTATAAAGCAATTATGAATTGAAGGTAATATTACTAATGAAAGTATTGCAAACAGCAGGAAATTACAGAACCCCACTGGTCTTCTCCTGCACAAGCCTGTTCATACACACACTGAGATTGAATGACAAGCTGATCAGATTCAAAAATAAGTAGGCTGAGAAATTTGAACTTACTTAAAGAACTCTTTGATATGTGGATTTGTAACCATAATTGTTCATAATACACTTTATCCTAATGGTATTCTGGGCCTTCAGGTACTGACTAAGTCTTGTATGAAATCGTCACCATTAACAGGACATTTCAAGGGACACATCCAGAACTGGAAAAGGGCCCTGTCCAGTTGGTTAAGGAGTTTACAAGATGAGTGTGGAAACCATGACCCACTCAGCCAGCCTAAGATCCTCTAGGGGTCTGTGTGTTTTGGGGAGTTTTCTTGTGTAGCCATGCTCACCACCAAAGTCTAATATTTAATTAAACTAAATTAAAACCAGAACATCGAATCACCGTAATAGGCATATTTTTAGTAACAGCAAAAAGGTTATGTGTTCCTTTAATATAAAAAGGAATTAATTTTTAAAACATGGATTATTACATTCCTTATCTCATCTTTTAAAACATCCTTTTCTGTACTTACAATACATATTGCATAGGAGTATGCGGTCGTGCGGGTATATTTATAAATAAATATACGTATACTGGGGTTGCATGCTTGAAGATATTTTTACTGTAAGTATGAAATCACTGGCAGTTGGTGACCTTGGGTCTAGTGGAACAAGGGTTCTCACAAATTTCTTCCAGCTCTCCGTGCTAGCACTTCATTGTGATGGTACTTTGATGTGGATGAGGGCATAATCTTATGATCAATATGCTTGCAGTGGGCTTCATAGCAGCCATGGCCATGAACAGGCTGGGGCATCATTTTGATGAAGGCAGTCAGACCTCTTAGGGGGATGGAGTGGGTTCTTAGATCTCTAGAGCCCTGTCAGCAGTAATAACTTGAAATTAAGAGTCCCCAGTCCCCTGGGTCCAGGCTGTAGAGAGCCATGGACAGGCCAGGTGTGGTACCAGCCAGGATTCTGCATCTTCCAGGTTCATGCTGCTCGATCACCAAGGATTTTCCCGCTCTGAACCCCACAGGAGCCATGTTGACAGAGAGATGTCGTTACTTTACCCAGCAAACACTCCGCGGGGAGGTGATGATTGCAATTCAAGCCTAGTGGATGAGGTGTGTCCCACATGAAAGAAAATGGAGGATTTCCATGTGTCATTGAAGAGAAAGAAGGCAGCATTTGGGGAGGCTGGCCCATTTTTAGGTGTGAGGATGTGCTCCAAAGGACCTTGGGCGGTAGAAATTAGAGTTAGGGGTTGCAAAGGAAGGAAAGTGCCCTTCCTCAGACTGGCACTTGCCTGTGGGCATCCCCATTCCAGCAGTTTCTCCAGATAATGAGACATGCCCCTTGTACCTCCAACCCCACGTTCTACATCATCATTGCCCTTTCTGGCCAGGTAGACAGTCCCTCTTGATTCGTTGTGAGATGTTGTGTCAGAACCACGTCGATGCAGAACTGAGAGTATTACATGAGATTCTGCCCCGATCAGCGATTGCTTGCTTCTAGCACATTTACATTTGTGGATGGTTTTTCTAGTCCCAGAACGCATATTGCCTTTTGGTGATGTTTGCTGTGAGCAAACAGTCAACTTGCATTTATCCAAAGTCTATATTGACTGAAGCAAATTCTCCAAGGAAAAGAATCTCCTGAAACCAGTCAATAGGCATTGGGAATTGTCAACCCATGCTTGGCAGCAAGACTCATCCTGACAAAAAGGGCAGGGGCAGGGAGACACTGGGGAGCCTGGCTTGGGGGGGTCAGACCTGAATGTTAAGCCACACTCTGCCC